GGTGGTGGGGGGGGGGGGGGGGGGGGGGAGAAGAGGAATCACACAGGTGGACCCGAGGCCAGGCCCTCCCCTGGAAGATAAAGACACTCAAAGGTTTGTTGTAACTATTCAATGTGTAAACTATTCCAAGTGTTTAAACACATGCCTGGCTTGGACCCAGCGTTTTTCTGCTCCTGACACAACTGCTGCTGCTAACACAGCTGTGACAGCACAAGAAATGATTAAGGGACAGAGAGACACAGCCAGGAAAGAACTAAGAGACACCCCTGGTGAGTCCACTTCTGGCAACACCTCTTGTCCCCCCGAAGCCTGCTCTGTCCTCGCCCCAACTTCTCCAGACGCAGCGGATGGGGAGCTGGGCTCCTGGATCCCAGGGTCCACGCTCCCTCAACACCCAGCAAGAAGATCTCAGACCACAGCCAAGACCCTCCCGGGACCCGGCATCCCTCCTTCCCACCAAACCTTCCCCCAAGTGTCGGCTCCTCACAGTGGACAGGACTGCAGACCCCTCTCCCTCTGGGCCCTTCGGGCAGGAGCGCCCACGAGGAGAACTCGGGTCAGGTGGGAGACCAGGTTCCTGCAGAAAAGACCTCGAGGCCCTGCGTGTAAACACGTGTCAGCCGCCAGGCTCCCCAGCTGCAGAGATGCAACAAAGGAAAATGGTATTTTCATAATTAACTTTATCTGATTTTAATAATTACATGATCACGTATATAAAGATGTCATCTCTAGCATAAGTATATATAATTATGTATTTATAATAGCTTTTTATAATGTAACTTTCCACCCATAATCATTTAGGTTAACAATTAAATCTCGTCCTCAAAACACTCCTAAATGCAACAATAAGGAAGTTTCTGGCTCAGGAACACGGCCTCTGCCTGCATTGGTCCTGCACCTGCAGGCCGTTCCCAGGCCCAGGCGCCCACCTGGCCCTCGGGCCGGCACAGAAATCGGAATAATAACCGGACATCGGATGCTTCGTGGCAGCTCTGCCCCCAGCTGGTGTCGCCAGGGCCGCCCCCAGGAGCCTGGGAGACACTACCGGGCGTCGAGTTAAATAACCAGCTGCATCTCTGCGGGTCCAGCGCTCGTGCGGAGTCTGGGGATCCTGACTCAGACCCGCTGCCCGCTGGCCCCCACCTCGAGGATGTGGAGGCAGCCAGGCCCCCATCCTTGGCTGGGGGCGTCCTCCGCGCCCGGACTGGCCAGGCCAAGTGCTTCTCCCTTCTCTCTTCCCCACGCCCGCCCTCCTGACCACGCCCACCTTCCAAAGACCACGCCTACTTCTCCAGGCCACGCCCACATCTCGCGCACACCCGTTCGCCCGACCACGCCCACCTTTCCCAAGACCACGCCCAAACCCGGACCGCGCC